TTACAGTTATTTCCTTTCCTTTATCATTTGACGTTTGACTTTGCTGGTGGTAGTTTATTCATGTGAAAGTTTTGTGGTTTTTTTTTTAAATGAAGTTGGCTGCCAATCTTTAATTGCTTCTGTATATTTAGTCATATCTAAGTTTTTGCTATTTCCAGGTTATAAAATACTTATTTCTGCTTTCTTCTAGTAAATATATGGTTTGATCTTTCACATGAAGGGCTCTTATCTATTTAACTGGTGTCATCTTCTTTGACAGTTAGAGTCTTTCTAATTATAAATGATTTTTAAATCTAGCCAAATTCTTGCCCATGTTAAAATAAATTCTTCAGTGTAGACTTTCTGGATTTGGATTGTGTAACATTTTAAGCCCTTTGAACACATGTATTACAGAATTACATTTCTATAATTTCTACACCAATTTTGATTATCTTTTTAAAAATCTCTATTAGGTAAAAATACTATGTTACAGTAGTTTAATATGCATTTTTATTATGTCTTGAATATCTTTTCTTTCTTCTTTTTTTTTTTTTCTGAAGAGATGGAGTTTCACTCTTGTTGCCTAGGCTGGAGTGCAATGGTACAATCTAGGCTCACTGCAACCTCTGGGTCTCCCAGGTTCAAGTGATTACCCTGCCTCAGCTGGTCTGGAATTCCTGACATCAGGTGATTCACCTGCCTCAGCCTTCCAAAGTGCTGGGATTACAGGCATGAGCCATTGTGCCTGGCCTTGAACATCTTTTCATATTTGTGTTTCTTCCTTTATGAATTGCCTGTATAATGTCCTTAACCTAATCTTTTTGTTTCTTAATTCCTTTTTTCTTTTTCTCTCTGTCTCTTTTTTTGAGACAGAGTCTTGTCTATTGCCCAGGCTAGAGTGCAGTGGCTCGATCTTGGCTCACTCTAACCTCCTCCTCCCAGGTTCAAGTGATTCTTGTGCCTCAGCCTCCTAAGTAGCTGTGATTATGGCTGTATGCTACTATACCTGGCTAATGTTTGTATTTTTAGTAGAGATGGGATTTTGCCATGTTAGCCGGGCTGGTCTCAAACTCCTGGCCTCAAGAGATCCTCCTGCCTCAGCCTCCCAAAGTGCTGGGATTACAAGCATGACCCACCGTGCCCAGCCTTGTTTTTTTAATTTCAAAGTTCTCTTTATATACATGTTAACTATATTAAGCTTTGATCTAGTGTATTTAGTATACGTATTTTCTCTATTAACTTGATTTTATAGGTGACATTTTAAAACTTGTATTGGTTTTTAAATTTTATTTGAAATTATCAGCATTTTTGTTGGTGATCTTTTCTAACGGAGGAGGAAATACTCATGCTTAAAAAGGCCTTTCGCATGCAGAGGTTATATAAATAATTAATTATCTAAATTTTCCTTAACCTTTTTTCCTGTTACTTTCTTTCATTTGTGCATGTACATCTTTGACATATTTGGTGTTTACTTTGGTGTGCTGTAGGTATCTAATTTTATTTTTTCCCCATTTACTAAATTAGTAATTTCTTTCTCTCATATGAAATAGTTCGTATTTCATTTACTGGATTGTATACAGCCACATTGTTTCTGGGCTGTCCTCTTGCACTATTGAAGCTGTTGGTAATTGCCAGCATCAACTCTTGTAGTTTTTTATAATCACTTTATATCTGATTAAGGCCCATATGAATATTACACATATTCATAGCCTTTATTTTCCTTCATTTTTCCTTCTGTCAGAGTAATTTTGTAAAACTTCATTTGAAAAAAGGAAAAAAACCAAACTGCTGTGCCTTAATTTCCACCTCTTCTGCAATAGAAGAATTCCAAATGGGATTTCAAATAGACATGTATATTTAGATGAAATTGGGGAACATTTTATATATATATATATATATATATATATATATATATATATATATAAAATTTTATTTTATTTTATTTTATTTTTTTGAGAAGGAGTTTTACTCTGTCACCCAGGCTGGAGTGCAATGGCGTGGTCTCAGCTCACTGCAACCTCTGCCTCTCAGGTTCGAGCGATTCTCCTGCCTGAGCCTTCCGAGTAGCTGGGACTACAGGCAGGTGCCACCATACCCGGCTAATTTTGTATTTTTAGTAGAGACAGGGTTTCACTGTGTTGGCTAGGCTGCTCTCAAACTCCTGACCTCATGATCCACCCACCTCAGCCTCCCAAAGTGTTGGGATTACAGGCGTGAGCCACGGCACCCAGAGAAAACAAATATATATATGTTTTGGTTTTTTTTTTTTTGAAACGAAGTCTTGCTCTGTCGCCAGGCTGGAGTGCAGTGGCACAATCTCAGCTCACTGCAACCTCCGCCTCCTGGGTTCAAGCGATTCTTCTACCTCAGCCTCCCGAGTAGCTGGGCTTGTGCCACGACGCCCAGCTAATTTTTTTGTATTTTTAGTAGAGACAGGGTTTCACCATGTTGACCAGGATGTTCTCGATCTCTTAACCTCATGATCTGCCTGCCTCGGCCTCCCAAAGCACTGGGATTACAGGCGTGAGCCACCATGCCTGGCGAAAACTTATGCTTTTACAATATTGAGTGTTTCCTTTTGTTTCTTCAGCAGTATTTATTGCACAGTTACTGTGTGCCAGGCACTGTGCTGTATTTTTTAGATTTTGTTGGTATTGTTAGTGAAGTTTCAAAATAATAATTTAAAAAATCCTTCCTAGGCATTACTTAAATTTAGGAATGTCCTTGATTTTTTTTCACTTTATGACTACTCAGCATACTGAATTCTTCTACTGTTTTTATTTTGTTTTTTATTTTTTTTAATTTTACTATTTTTCTTCTACTTTTTAATAATCTTTCAGTCTGGGCACGGTGGCTCATGCCTGTAATCCCAGCACTTGGGGAGGCCAAGATGGGTGGATCATCTGAGGTCAGGAGTTTGAGACCAGCCTGAACAATGTGGTGAAACTCCATCTCTACTAAAAATACAAAAATTAGCCGGGCTTGGTGGCAGGCGCCTATAGTCCCAGCTATTCAGGAGGCTGAGGAAGGAGAATTGCTTGAACCTGAGAGGTGGAGGTTGCAGTGAGCTGAGATCACATTATCGTACTCCAGCCTGGGGAACAGAGCAAGAGTCTGTCTCAAAATAATAATAATAAATATAAGAATAATAAATTAGTAATAGTCTTTCAGTTGATTCTGAACTTTTCTAAATAGACTGTTATCAATCTCAAATAATAATCTCATCTTTCTAGTGCTTGTATATTTCTTTATTTTTTCTTATTCTATTGGTTGGAACTTCTTGAGCAAAGTTAAATAATATTGCAGTTAAGGCAGTGTTCTATTCTTAGTTTTTCTTTTTTTGGTGTGTGTTTCTTTTTAAAAATTTTCCCTTATACTGTATTAATCATATATTTATTCTGTTTTTAATCATTAACACCATGAGCTTTATTACTAGATTTTTCTAACATTAAACTGTGCTTAAATTACTGGAATAGTTTCTACTTGTTGATGGTATATGGTCCTTTTTAATGTAATTCTGAATTTGCTTTGCTAATATTTTTGAAAAGATTTTTACATTTGTAATTCTTAAGTGAGATTGACATGTGGTTATATCTGTCACTGCTCGTTACCAAGGTTATGTTAGCTTAAAACATGAATTAGGCTGTCTTTTTTTTTTCTTGTGCTCTAGAAAGTGTCTGTTTAATTGTGATAATGGCACTTTTTTCCTGATTATGAAAGTAATCATTTTCTTATAAAATACTAGAATGTCCCACAACTTAGACAGAACCATGGTGTTTTGAAGTATCTGTATTTAGTTCCTGGGTTGTTTTTTTCTCTGTTTGGGTGATATTTTATTTTATGGCTTGATTTTTTTCTTTTAATAAATTGTGATGGATATCTTTCTGTGTGAACAAATTGAGATTTGAGCCATGATTTGTAATGGCTACATACACAGTCTTCCATCTCCTGAATGCTTTGATTTGCGGACTCCTCTTCGTAGACCTGGTGTGTGTGGCACTTTTTTCTTTACTTGTTTTGCTCTTTTGTCTTTGAATGTAGAGAGATCTGCCTTCCTTGGTGTTTCCCGGCAAGCATTGTAACTGGCTCCTCTTTGGTTCCCAGGGGTATGGGAGTAGTTCAGGTTAGACTTTCCTGGGCTGCAGGTGCCTCGGAGGGTTGCCGGATGTATGCAGCCCTGGGCCAGCCTCTGGTGCGCTGGCTGGTTTTCCTTGGTGTGATTTTGCAAATCCAAGGAGGGAGCCCATTTGAGTTGTATAATTGCTGCTTTTGACAAGGTAGCAAAGGAAACTGCGGCCTTCTGTCTTTTTAATTTGTCTCCGATTTCGTCCGTGGCTGAATATGTCTTAACCTACGCAGTTTGTTTTTTCACCTTTCCAGTCTTCTCCATCCTTTAATGTAACAGGTTAGAGTCACAGACAAAAATGTCTTCTAGGATTCTAGGTTGATTGGAGAAAATTCACATATTCCTAGAAAAAGAGTCATGTGTGGTTAACATTCCTCTTGTATGAAAAGAACACATTGCTATAAAACGTTTCATGGGGTTGTAAATTTTACCAGTTGTTGAGAGAGACCGGTGGGGATGGCAAGGGACTCCACGCCTTGTCATTGAAGCCTGGTTGAGAGAACCGAGGGTTTTTGCTGTTGAATGAAGATTTGGTGAACATAATTTCCTGCATGGCTCCAAGGCAGATAAATAGGATCAATGGGCAGAAGCTCAGGCAACAGGATTCAGCTGATTGTGAGGGCACACTGACAACTTCCAGCCAGCCTCAGTTCCAGTCTGGCTTGGCGCACCACTGGGCCAGGCTGTGGAGCTGGTATACACGCTGTAGGTGGGCAGCTAGACCAGGACACCACTCAGTCTCCTTCCAGCCCTGAGTTTGTCGTGAGGGGCTGAGTATCTCTTCCAGCCCTTGCCTGGTTGAATCATAGCCTGTGAAGTGGTGTTGACGTGATGTAATTTCGTGGATTCTATACCTCTGGACTGGAATACTTAGGATGTGTTCTTTTCTTTTCAGCTTACCGTGACAATCAGAGCTTTGTTGCAGAACCTGAAGGAAAAGATCGCCCTTTTGAAGGACTTATTGCTAAGAGCTGTGTCAACACATCAGATGTATCCATGTAAACATTTCCACCTCTTTTCTAGAGTGGGAGGAAAAGCAGTCTTATTTTAAGAAAGGAAGGAATCTGGGCCACCCAGATTTTTCCACAGCTTGAGGAAGACCTGGTTTCCAAAATATTGCCTGTAATCTTGATTTCTATTTTAAGTGTCTGTTACATGTTTTACAGTGAATATGCTGGCAAAGCAAGACCCACCGAAGGAATTGACTTATTTGGGTGTAACCTGTGCAGTTAAGGAGGCTAATGCTTTCCGTCAATGCTGTATTTACAGAGCCCCGCACTGCTCCCTGTCTAGACGGCCTTGACCATGGCTAGCTACTGCTCCGACAGGAAAACTTCCATGATCATCCTAAGCTGTGATTCCACTTCTGGGAGTTTCCAGAGTTTTTAATGATCCATTTCTTTTCGGAGTGGCCAATACCAGCAAAAACCATACGTCTCTCCCCTCTCCACCCACCCCCGTGTTTACGTAGATGATTGAGATGTGACTTGTTTGCCTTGTTTTGCCTCCAGAGGCACAGAGGCTGCTTCTAGTATGGGAGTTTGAGGGGAAGGGGTGGGGTGGGACTTCCTTGACGCAAGTGATGCCGTCATCTTAACCTCCTACCAAGTGTTAAAATATATGTATATGTTTTAGAAATTCGTAATCCAGGCCAGGTGCGGTTGCTCATGCCTGTAATACCAGCACTTTGGGAGGCCAAGGCGGTGGATCACTTGAGGCCGGGAGTTCATGACCAGCCTGGCCAACATGGTGAAACCCCGACTCTACTGAAAATATAAAAAATAAGCCAGGCATGGTGGTGCTCACCTGTGGTCCCAGCTACTTGGGAAGCTGAGGCAGGAGAATCACGTGAACCTGGGAGGCGGAGATTTCAGTGAGCTGAGATCACGCCACTGCACTCCAGCCTGTGCAGCAGAGTAAGACCCTGTGTCAAAAGAAAAGAAAAGAAATTAATAATCTGATCAGTTTAGTAAAACATATGAGACTTATTCCCTACACTAACCCTTTACACCTGAGTTCATATTGGTTTGAAAACTTACTTCAAATTGGTCTTCTCCCATCCTTTCTCTAGATTGTCAGTAGTTCATGCCAAAGACCCAGTTTTTGGTATTTCAGGAAATGGATACTGCCAGATTTTAAATATGGGGAAATATAGGAATACAGCTTCTTAGATAAAACAATGGAAAGTGTTCTAAAAAATATTTTCCTCCATTTCACCCCTTTATGTCACCAGGGAAGTTGGTTTAGTTGCATGATTTTCTAGATATTCAATTATTAATCCACTAAGGTTTCAAATAAAAGTTTAATTTCAGACAATTAGGGCCGTATTTTTAGCACAGTTGGAATTTTCTGAGACACTTTACCTTCCATCTGGTATGATTTGTTACAGCACAGTTGGTCTATCATATAAAGGGTTTTTATTTTACCCAAATCAACAAGTCCTGATATACAGACCTCACCATGCCTCTGTGCCTGGCTAATTTTTGTATTTTTAGTAGTTGATGGGCAGGAATATTTCCTTTCCTTTCAGTTCTAAGCACTGGGAAGTCTACACATGGGGTCAAGGTGTGTAAATTCATGTTAGTGTTACCTAAAGCACATATATTAGAAAGATAACGACATATTGTTTCCTGATTTAATATAACTATACATTTGTTTCCGTTAGGGTAACATTATTAGTCACCTTATTTATGTTCTAAACCTATAGGGTGAGGAAAAGATACAAAGTAAGAGCTTTTGCTTTTTTTCTGTTAATAATAATTTCTGCTAGTTATTACAGAGTACAGAGGAAGCATACCACAGTTATAATTGACTTTTTTCTCCTACATGCGTACAGTCTGACCATCTGTTGAAATCTCACAGATTTTTGGTCTTATGGTGATCTCAGAATTATTTCCCAAATTACTGAATTAAGTAGTAAGCATCAGAAACCGCAAACAAGTGTTATTTCCAACATTACAAAAATATTTAGGGCCTTATGTGGGTAATGTAGAATTTACTAGGAGACATCAAAAATTCCACTGGAATACAACAACTTTCTTTAAAATTCTATTTATTTTTTCAAATAGTTGATCTATTTCTACTGTAACAACTACAGCCAGTACTAGGGATGGTACTTAGCTAATCCACCTCATGGGGGCACTCATAAACCTATGTATTTTCAGGGAGGCCACTTTTTTTTTTTTTTTTTTTGGAGACAGAGTCTTGCTCTGTTACAACCCATGCTGGAGTGCAGTGGTGTGATTTTGACTCAACGCAACCTCTGCCTCCTAGGTTCAAGCGATTTTCCTGCCTCAACCACCTGAGTAGCTGGGATTATAGGCGTGCGCCACTGTGCCCAGCTAATTTTTGTATTTTTAGTAGAGATGGGGTTTCACCATGTCGGCCAGGCTGGTCTCGAACTCCTGACCTCAGATAATTGGTCCGCTTTGGCCTCCCAAGGTGCTGGGATTACAGGCGTGAGCCACTGCGCCCGCCTACGGAGGCCACTTTTAATGTAAGGGAAAGGAGTTAGCTTATATATTATGAAGGCCTCTTTTTAATTCTACTTCTGTTCCTCCCATCTTCCGTTCCCCTAATATACTTCCCCTTCCCAAACATTTAAAATAATTCTCTAGCAGTATCCTCCAGATTTAAGATAGATAGCAATCTGTGAGTCCTGATAATCTCATATTATGAGATTTTTGTTTGTTTGTTTTTTGGTGTTTCTCTTTTTACAAAAAAAGATACTGAGGCCAAGTCAAACTTTGGACTGCAAGTCGCTGATGAAGTTGGAGAGGTAACCAAGCATTCCAGCAGAGGAGGTTTTATTTTTTTGGTTTTTTTTTTTGAGACAGAGTCTCACTCTGTCACCCAGGCTGGAGTGCACTGGCACTGTCTCAGCTCACTGCAACCTCTACTTCTCAAATTCAAACAATTCTCCTGCCTCAGCCTCCCAAGTAACTGGGATTACAGGCATGTGCCACCACCACGCCCAACTAATTTTTGCGTTCTTAGTAGAGGCAGGGTTTCACCATGTTGTCCAGACTGGTATTGAACCCCGGACCTCATGATCCGCCCACCATGGCCTCCCAAAGTGCTGGGATTACAGGGGTGAGCCACCTATAATCCTGGCCCTGGCAGAGGAGTTTTTTAAACTGAGGAGAGGATTCTTGGAGAGCTTTAGTCATTACCCAGGACCCCACAACTAGGAAATGGAAGAACCAGGGTTCAAACACAGGGCTGAATGGCCCCAATGTGAGTTGTTTAAAAGCTGAATTATACTGTAGTAGAAATAATACAGTCAGCTGTCACCTGGCATGTCTGCAAGTAGAATTCTCTGTTAATTGTTGCGTTGCCGGACTGCCAAGACAAATCTTGTTTATAATACAAATCTTCAAGAACCTTCTTAACTATCAGAAGATTAAACAGTGTTCATTGTGGTTTATTAGGTGTACTTCATGATGTCGAGAAAAATGTTTGTTCATAAATCACCAATGAAGTGACTTTTTAATCCTTTTTTTGAGGCATAATTAATGTTTGGTGACTCTTTTAATGTGAATATTTGAATACTATATTTCTTTACTGCACTGGGTAGTTGAGAGTTCATGATACTTAATAAATTTATGCCTTTCTACATTTGTGAACTTGTCCAAAGAACACGAGGAGTTGCCAGAAAGATAAGTCCTATGAAAATGCTTTCTAAACAATTAAATTCATGGAATTAAGGCATAAGATGTTATGCTCTCTCCTGAAAAAGTATTTTTCTCCTGGCAAGAATGAAAGTCAAGTTAAAATGAAAGTTCTGTGCTTTTGAATCCTTTAGTATGCAATTAATAAACTTAAGTCTTGCAGTCAGAGAGTTTAAATTGCTGAAAGACATTAACATCTGTTCACAGTGCTTTGAAATAGGAACGATAATTGCCTCACCAGCTGAGAAAAGATGGATGCCATGGGAGGCTGCATGTGAAAGTCAGATAGTACTAAAGCTACTTATTACCATCTTCTTAGAGTTGGTTTCACATGAAATGTATCCTTTTGTTGGCATTTCAAAGGAGGCAGCACCTTTATTTATTTTAAAGAGAAGAAAGAAAATCTCAGGCCGGGCACAATGGCTCATGCCTGTCATCCCAGCACTTTGGGAGGCCAACACGGGCGGATCACGAGGTCAGGAGTTTGAGACTAGCCTGGCCAACATAGTGAAACCTTGTCTCTACTAAAAATCTACAAAATGAGCCAGGCATGGCGGCGGGCACCTGTAATCCCAGCTACTTGGGAGGCCGAGGCAGGAGAATCTCTTGAACCCAGGAGGCAGGGGTTGCAGTGAGCCAAGATTGTGCAAATGCACTCTAGCCCAGTTAACACGGCAAGACTACATCTCAAAACAAAAAAAAGAAAAAGAAAAAAATCTCTTTACAAAAGGGTTTGATATCAAAAAGTACTTTGGTGTCTTGGGAGAAAGCCTTTGGAAATAATTTTTTAAAATCTATAAATTTCTCAACTCTGTATTTTTTGGGGGAAAAAAAAAGGTAGGTAGATAGATAGGTACATGGTATGTGGTAATTACTATATAACAAACCTCAGTGAATGTAGTTGTGGAGAGGCTGACTGAGCAGATTTTACAGGACTCCCCTGGTAGCTCCAGTGTAGGTGAAGTGGTTCTCACACACTGTGCCTGTCCGTCCATATTCACTGATACTTGATAACGTGAGAAAAATAAGGAGAAGATGGTGTTTATGTAGTTGAATTTTTTTTGGTTTATAAGAATTTTTTCCTGACTTTTTAAAGACAGGATCTCACCGGGTTGCCTAGGCTGGAAGGCAGGGGAATTCATAGCTCACTGCAGCCTCAAACTCCTGGGCTCAAGTGATCCTCCTGCCTCAGCCTTCCGAGTAGCGAGGATTCCACGTGTATGCCACCATGCCCAGCTAATTTTTTGTAGAGATGCGGTCTTGCTGTGTTTCCCAGGCTGGTCTCAAACTTCTAGTCCCAAGCGATCCTCTGCCTTGCCC